GTCAGAGACAGTGCGGTTGGCGCAGGATAGAGCAGGGTTTAGTTTAGGGCTGTTGTGCATAATAGGGTCGCTATGAGTCGCAAACGACTCGACGGCACATAACAACAACAAACACCTTAGACACACAGACACACACACACACCCTACTCCTAGAACAGACACCGCTCATCCTACCCCGAAGACACACAAACACACCTATCCTACCCCTGAGACAGGTAGACACACACATACATACACACCCCACTCCTAAAACAGAGATACCCCGCCCCCCCACGCCTATCCTACTCCTGAGAGACACTCCACAACCCCTTTACCCTACCCCTAAAACAGACAGACACAGAAACACACACTCCAAACACTCCCCAGAATATCCCTGCTCAGATCCCGAATCTCGGAGCCCAGAAGACACCCCAGACAATCCACCAGGTTCCGGCCCAGAATCCACCTTCTCCAGGCAACTTCATCTCAGGACCCTGTGTCCTGCTGAGGCACCGGGCCTCCGATCCCCGCTTACTCACCTAGCGAGTTCCAGCAGCACGTTGGTTCTGGTGTCCTGTTCAGGGGCCGACGGTTCGCAATCGTGTTCATCGAAATAGGATGCCATGGCTGCACTGCTGACACAGCCTCGGACCTTTGCTTCACTGAGGCCTCGCGGCGCCTGCCAATAAGCGCGCAAGTTTAAATGGATAGCCAATCAGGGCATCCGGTGGGCAGGCATAGTGAGTGATAACGGCACAGAAGGCGGAAGTACTAATTTTACTGTCTCGCATTGGTTTAGGTAAACCAGGTGACCAAATATTGGAGCCAATGACAAGGCAGCAACTCGTTTGATACTATTGACGTGAGAAACGAGGAAGTGCTGAGAAATGTTCATAATGTCGCGTCTTCTGCACCCTGAAAAAGCTTGGTAATGCAAGGTTCTCCACTTTCCCTGAGGCTCAAAGGTCCGCAGCCACCCCGAAGGTTTAGACTGCGTTCCTGGATGCAATCCAGGAGCCTCTGGGCCCGCGCCTCACAGTCACTGTCGACCCGGCTTTCCTGCTCTCCGGTTGGCTCTTCAATAGGTTTGAGTCGGCCTTCAACCTTCAAAACAAACAAACTTCCTGCATATTTCTTCAATGTTAGTCACAATAACAGCAGGAGGGACAATCTTCCTGGGAAATCTAGGGCCTCATCAGTCCCTTTCATAACTAACTTCTGCCCCAGCTTGTTTCCCTGTGACACTAGTGGCTAGAACAGACAAATGCAGTGACTCAAGGGTATTAGCGTAAATGTTCATTAAATGTAAATGTTAATTGTTAAATGTTATTGTTGTTGTTGTTTTTATGTGCCGTCGAGTTGCTTGCAACTCATAGAGACCCTATGTACAACAGCCCTAAACTCTGCTCTGTCCTGTGCCAGTCGCAGTGTCTCTGACACTCCCATCCTGATTATCCCAGTCGCTGAATAAATCCATCTCATAGAGGGCCTTCC